AATAAAAAAAAAAAAAAAAAAAAAAAAAAAAAAAGAGTAGGGGGCAGAAGGGCTTAGTGCTCAGAGAACCAAATGGGGCCCTGACATTTGCTCTGCAGGGCTGACATGCCACAAATCTGAATGGATTTGCAACCATCTTTTTCTTTTCCTTTTTTTTTGTTTGTTTGACACAGAGTCTCGTTCTAACACCAGGCTGGAGTGCAGTGGCATGATCTCAGTTCACTGCATCGTCTGTTTCCTGGGTTCAAGCAATTCTCCTGCCTCAGCCTCCCAAGTAGCTGGGACTGCAGGCACATGCCGCCACACCTGACCAATTTTTTGTTTTTAGTAGAGACAGGGTTTCACTATGTTGGCCAGGATGGTCTTGATCTCTCGACCTCGTGATCCGCCCACCTCAGTCTCACAAAGTGCTAGGATTACAGTTGTGGGCCACCACACCCAGCCGTGACTATCTTTTTCTTACTCTTACCATACCGTCTTAATCTTTTTCCAAGTCTAATCTTTCAGTCGGATATACTCAACATATGAAGTATGGACTAAATGGACAGTGGGTTTGGAATCTAACATGTTTATTAACACTCTAGAGACACTGATCTGGGACATCGTTAGATGTGCAATGACTCTAATGACTTGCAGGAATGAAGGGGAGCAGCAGTGGCTGACCCAAAAATTTAATTGTGCACATTACAAGGGAACAGCATCATACACAGGCATTATACACCAAAAGCAGGCAAGCAACGCTTATAATCAAAATTACCCTGGAGTATCCAACAGAAAGATGCCACACTGAAGACCAAGAGACTGTCTTAAAATCCCAAACACACACTGGAATCTTCTAGGAACTGGAAGGGATGGCCATGTCAACGGCTGGGCAGAAGATAAGCTTAGGAGCTATATTCTGAATCAACTCAGCCCTGCAAGTGGCTCACACAATGACACTGACTTGGTCCATCAAAGGGAAAAGCCATTTCATACCAATAGTCAATGTCAATGAGTGGCATTTTAATGAGTTGGCCAATGTAATTTTTTTCTTTTTTTTTTTTGAGACGTAGTCTGGCTCCGTTGCCTAGGCTGGAGTGCAGTGGCGTGATCTTGGCTCATCACAACCTCCACCTCCCAGGTTCAAGCAATTCTCCTGCCTCAGCCTCCTAAATAGCTGGGATCACAGGTACGCACCACCATGCCCAGCTAATTTTTGTATATTTAATAGAGACAGGACTTCACCATGTTGGCCAGGCTGGTCTTGAACTCCTGACCTCGTGATCCGCCTGCCTTGGCCTCCCAAAGTGCTGGAATTACGGGCGTGAGCCACTGCGCCCAGACTTTTTTTTTTAAGAGACATGACTGGTCAGGCGCGGTGGCTCTCTGGAATCCAGCACTTTGGGAGGCCAAGTGGAGTGCATCCCCTGCTATTGCCCTTCCTTTGTTGCATGGGTGGAGTTGAAATCTCCTGGGTCAAAGGCATAGATGATAAGCACCATGGTATTGAGAGTCTTCTTAGCCGCAGACCACACCTCTCACTTCAGCAGTCATCCTGAATATACCTTCCCTTGGTGCCTTGGGGAACCAGGCAAGAGTGGTGGGTAGATCTGCATGAAATCATGACCACTGTAAAAAACTAATCTAGGGCACCTGCATGGGGAATGCCATGAAGAAGCAAAAGTAAAAGCTGC